TATCACTTTAAGTCCAAAGAGAAGACAACATCTCTATAGAAAAATGTTTGCTAGACATTATAGTATTCAAGAAGGATAAGGATAGTCAAGAAGAGAGGAAAGAGCTCAACTTGGAAAAGGAGTCCAAGAGTAACTCCCAATCGGTGAAGGAAGACTTATCTATGTTGAAGTCTTCTTGATGAGTCCTACTTCAAATCTTGCAAAGATCCATCAAGAATCCTACTCAAATATCCCTCAATAATCAATAAAGAATCAAGAAAGATGAAACCGAGTGCAATTAGGAATCTAACCCTAGATGGAGTTCAAATTTGGTTGAGGAGTTTTACAATTTTAATTATTTAATTGCTTTCATTATCCTATATAGATAAGAATTTAGTTATTTTATTATTTTAATTTTAAGTATTTTAGTTAAATTATGTCTAAGTGTTTAAGTAGGAAATTGTAATCCTACTCCAAATAAAACTAGTAAATAAAAGCCTATATAAAGACATTAATCTTTAGGTTGTAATCACAATTCAGTTATTTAATAAAGTTTAAAACTTTTGCTTTTTAAAAATTAGCTTGACTAATTTTCTTGAGTGTTCTTCAAACTCTTCAAGATAGAGAGCTTTCAGAGTCTGTTGAACTGAGAAGTTAGGATTGACTTATCGAGTAAGTCAAAGTGTCTTTCCTTCTTTTGTATGTCATATAGGTGGGTGAAAATTGAAGTAGGGAGGGTGAATTAGGTGGTTAAGCCTTTTTAGTCATATGTTGTGTGAGATTCTAAGAATCAAAACGATCCTTCCCCGTCCCTTCCCAGGTCAAACAACCAAGATCCGAAAAGGGTAGAAAGACTAAAGAATCCTTATTAAAACTGTAAATCAAACCATTATTATTCAAGGAGACTAGATCGGACGGTTTAGATTTATAAGAGTACTTAAAAAACCAAAATAATCTAAAATGATCTATAGAGAGAGAGAGAAAGAGAGGAGGGGGGACAAGAGAGAGAAAGAGGGGGAAAGGGGAGAGCAACAGTCTAAGGGAAAGCGAGAGAGGGGAAAAGAGAGCGGCAGTCCGAGGGAGAGTGAGAGAGAGAAAAGAGACTGATGATTCAAGAAGAGCAAGAAAAAAGAAGGGAAAAAAGGGAGAAAGAGAGAGAAAGAAGATGAGGAAGAGTGTCGAAAGGGGAACACCACTACAGAAAGAATATAGATTAAAGGAGAAGAAGAAGAAAAGAGAAAAGGAGGCTGTGACAAAGCCGCATCAGGTCGCAGGGGCATCGAAGTTCTTATATCTAGTAAGCCTGAACTTTCTTTTCGTTTCATTATTTTAAACGGGTTTTTTTCATGCTTGTATGCACATCCTGAGAGTTAAAAATCATGAAATCAACTAGGTAAACCGAGGGGTCCTTTCATTGAGTACCTGAATCCGTTTCTAGTGGTGAGTTTTTAGAATGCATGATTCCAAATGTTCCTTTTTAGTTTGAGTTATGTTTTTAAATTTAGATTTATTGCATTAACATGTGTACAATGATTGTTAGGCCATTTTTGTGCACTTTGGTAAGAAGATATGAGCGAAAACTCTGTAAGTATCCTGATATTCTGAATCTAAGTTGGATTTTGAATTCCATCTGTGAATTTCATGTGTGACACTTGTTGATTTCGTTTACTTGAAAATAGAATCGGTATCATGATTATGTACAGATGGAGAACAGAACTTGGATGTTTTTCAGGTAGTGTGAACTACTGAGAATGGAGTTCGGGACAATTGAATTTTTAGCATTTTGGTGTAGTAATTTAGATCTTCTAGCTTCTGTTAAATTAGTTTAATTGTATAATTGTGTTGTTACTTTTCTTGGCATGAAAACAATTTAAGCAAGATGTAAAACATGAAATAAAAGGTAGTGAAAATTAAGGGTATTAATAAAAAAAATAATTAAACTTGTTAATAAGAAAATCGATGAAATTAAAGGAATAATCGAATGGAGTTGGTGAGAGAAAAAGCAACGATATTAATTAAGGAATGAAGTAAAAGAAATGAAAATAAAATTTATAGTGAAAAATTTAATAAATAAGAAAAGGGATTAAAAGAGTGAATAGAATTATAATAAATATAATTAAAAAAAAAAAGAAAATAATTGAGAAAACAATAAGTAATTAAAATGAGAATTGGATAAAATAAATTGGGTGAGTGAATTGAAAATAAAAGAAATTTAGTAAGAGCGCAGAATATAAAGACCTTGAAGCCTTACTCATTTAGTCGTATATCAAGGAGGGAAGGGTGTGTGTATTGCTGAAATTCTGCAAAAAGTATGGTGAACATACTCAATAATAGAGATATGGAACCTAATCCAGATGTGGATGGATATGTGTGATGTATTCTTGATCACCCAGGGAACATACTGTTGTGATCAATAAGTGATATGTGGGAGTGTTATCCATGTAGTGAATGGATCCTTATCACCTCTCCTTGATGATGATACAAATGACATCATGCGATGAAACCTTTAATGTGATAGTGGAAAAATGTGTATGTGAATTTTGATTGATATTCAAGTGAAAGCATGTATATGTGAGTTTTAATATGAACCATATGTGTCAAAAATTACGTATGAGTGTATATGTTTATGATTTATGAATATAAAAATTGATGTGATGTTATAAAATAAGAAATAAGAGAATTATATAAATCATCAAATGCAAAGACCATTAGATAGAAAGTGTCATAAAATTTTATAAAGAATTATAAAATTAAAATTATTATTATTACATTTATTACAAATATGCCGAACATGAGAATACTTACTGAGTTGGTGAATCCCATTAAGTTTCACAATAATATTTTACAAAGAATGTAAAATTAAAGCAAGTGTCGGATGAGTGGGAACACATGAAGGTGTCCTGATCAGTTGTATATTTTGTTTTTGAGGGTATTGTACCACTTTGTTGAACTTTATGTTTGAACATCATGTTTTCTACATATAAATATTATTAGTTTTATTTTAATTTTAGAGCTATGTATATTATTATTTCGTGAATCCTATTAGTTAGGAAAAACATGAGTATATTTGTGTCTCGTTATTGGGTTCGGGGTGTTACAACAACAAGAGAATCTACATTACAATGTGATTCCCCATGACTTCATGCCTCCACATTCTTAGAACACCTATTTTTTGAGTACCTATAAGTTGAAAAGATCTAAAAGCCACCAAGAAGCCACATATACAAAGAAGAATACTTAGCCACATAGTTATTAGCTTTAGTTTCTCTCTTTTTTCTTAGACAAAAATAGAAAATTTTTCAAGTAGAATTCTTCAAAAGAGGTGAATCATCAACGAGCCTAACATTTAGAGGAAGGAAGACTACATAATCTTTTGAAGAAATATTCATAAGACTAAGTTTTTCTTATCTTCCTTTGTAACTTTTAGCTGTGATGTTTAGGATTTATCTTTTTTGAAGTTATATATATTTTATTTGCACCATGAACTAATTTAGTTTTCTTGGGGATTAATGGATCCGAACCTTATATTTTGAATTTAATAATTGATGTTTAGTATGTTTATAGTGCATGATCAATGTATCTTATGTTTATAGTGTATGATGTATCCTTGAAATTGACTATTATGAAAATGCATTCCTCTATTGCTAATGATTGTTCTAAGAGTTCCAGACCCAGAGAAAATATTTTCCCTGAGAAATTGCATGGTCACCTTTGTATTATTAGTGAGCGTTAAAGCATGATAAGGAAAAAAGTCTCATGAAATCTGTACCTCAAATTTAAAAAATTGGCATACCAAAACACTATATAAAGGTTTATTCCTCTTAAAGATATTACTTGTTCATTGACATCTATCACAAGTTGTAATATATGCCCGAGCATCTTTGAAAAGTGTGTGTTAATAGCATCCTAATTATGGAAACCTTGTCATAGTTTTGTTGGCCTCAAAATGTCATTCCTACTTTCCCATCTTAACAATGATGTAATATGTTAGTAAATTCATTCTCAGGTACACAACTTTTTATTAACTAGTCAGTACACATTTTGTAGAGATATAGATCTTCCCAAAAGTAGTTGTTTATTTATAGGAACTTCTTCTTTTGCTAATATAAATAGTCCTTAGTTATCCACCAGGAAACCATCTTAATTGCATGCAAGAGAGAAAATTAAAAATTGAGGACATAGAAAAAAAATTTCTTATTCGGAAATTCTTTTGCATGTCTTCTTTGCCTCTCATCTTGTTGTCTAACCTTGAGGGGTGATCGGTTGTCCATTCCGTTTCCATTTTTGCTTCTAAGGTCAAATTTTGAAGGAGAAAAATCCATTAATGTAGACCTGGCTTGACATCTTTTTTGTAAGGCATTCTCAAGTTGCGTGATTTGTATGCACAATAACTTTTGATTCTACAAAATAACATCTAAGCTTATTTTGAGTACAATGGAGTATACCGGACTGTAAAATTGTTTAACATGCTATGAAGCTTCATTAATAAGAAAACATGTTAATTTACACTCTCCAAATTGATATTGATACTCTTCTCCCTTTTTGTTGGAAAATTCATACAAATTTGTCTGTAAATCCATATTTTTTCGGCTAGAAAATGGTGATCATCTTAGTCAAATTAATAAAATTTAATACATAAATCTTTACTGAATTGGAATAATGAATTCCAAATTTTATGGAATTTAATAATATTAAAAACACATTATTTAAATTTTACAATAAATTTTATACGAGATCAATTTGTGTTAATCTTTAATAAAATTTGTATTATTTTAATCAAAGTAAATATTTATTTAACAATTTCATGTAAATTTTATATATATTTCAATATCTTTTTTAACAATTCATTTCATTTAAAAAAGTACCATTATTAAAATTTAGAGTGCAACAAGCACACTCACCAAAGAGAATTTTACCTTTTTAGTCATAAGTCAGTCAGATATGAAATAACTGTGTTCGTAATTTCACCTAAATAACTAAAACGAAACATAAATGGGTGGGATTAAAATGAGATTAGCCAATTTATTTTAAACAATTATATTGATGACGAATTCAATAAACCTCTGGTGATTCCTGTGTTTTAATTTGCCCTGATGAATCTCAAAACACAAATCCAGGGCTACCATGAAAATCTACTTGCTATGTTTTTGATCATTATCAAATTCTGTGTTGAAGCTAAACTATAATCTTTGCATATCCACAAAACCCCTAATATGTATGTATCATATGTATATATACACACATACATAGGGATTCAGGAAACAGAGTTTGACCTTAACTTATTACCATCTGTTCCTCGTCCGCAGTTTTACTTTCATCCTTGGCCGCTTGCTCCTCATCTCCAGTTTCTTCTTTATTCTCTTCCATTGTCTTCTCATCAATCAATGCTGTGGGAACAGGGGGCAACACCTCTTTTACCATTTCTACTAGCTCTTCCACTTTCTCACCCAACCGACCCTCACAATTCTCTATGATCTGTCAAATATTTAGCATAAAAAAACAACATAATTACAAATGAATTACTTAAAATAACAAAGTGAATCATTTGAGAAAGATTGATGTGTTAGAGATTCACGGAGAAGAGCACCAACAGCTAGCTACAGATTAAAAATTGTCTCATATGAATTCTTCCGCTCAAACATTGACAGATGAAGTATTTCTCATTCTACTGAAATAATTATTTAAAGGTTGTGGAGAAAATAAACACTATCTACTGAATAGTGCAAAATATTTTTTAAATGACCGCTTCTTTAATGTATATATTGAACACTCCTCTCTGCTACAACTACCAACCACTATGCAATCATCACCGACCACTCAGTTGCAGTCAACAAGCTTCTCCAACTGTCATTGACTGTTGTTACCCAACTTAGACCATGATTAGGCCCCACCAAGCACCACCAGCTGATGCAAACCATGACTTTTTTTCATTATTTGTTGTTTTTACTAATAACTTAAATCTGTATAGATTATTTTCTTTTGTCGGATGGAGGCAGATCTTAGATGTGGTTTTGGCGGCCACTGAGTGGTAGATTCACTTACTACTAGGAACGGAAAATGATTACTTGTCCCACGTGCTTTTTGTAGATAGCACCATCTTGTTTTGCAAACCAAATAAGGTATCTCTTCTTCAAATCAACTATATTTTGCTCAACTCCCAAGTTGTTCCCCCACTTGAGTAATTCTCGAGGGTCTAATTACTTCCTATAACAAAATATGCACATGGAAAGGTCTATGCTACCATTATGGGTACAAGCTTTTTTCATTTCCCATTAAATATCTTGACTTACCTTTGGGGGCTACAGAATAAAGCTATTTGGAATGATATTTCTTTTTCAATAAAAGTATAAGATATTGATGTCGGCCCTCAGTGGGCAGCAGCCACATACAAAAAATTTACATGTCAATAAGCATATTTGCAATGGAATGAAAATCTTCTAAACTATCAAGGTTATGTCCCAATATAACAAAACCAAAATAATGAAACCATATGTCCTTGATATTTACAAAATTATTCTCTTTACCCTCAAAAACCCTATTGTTTCTTTCTTTCCAAACAACCCAGGAAATGGGCAACAGGATTAGCCTTTAGTGCTTGTTCTTCTTACAGCTCCACCCAAGTGATCAATATATTTTATAGAAGAAGACTAGCAGGATGAAAGAGAAGCTTTATTTGTGAGCCTATGCTCACACTTAGGAAAACTTTGGTAAACCTTCCAATCTACTACTTGTTTTTTCTTCTAATCCTGTTAAGTGTTGCTATGAAATTGTGAGCATCTAATGTTGGTTATGTGCGCTGATATGAGCAAAGAAGATTGCATTTGGTGGCTTGGGAGATAGTCAGTCTTTCTTTGAACTTCAGGAGACTTGGACTTAAGTCTTTGGTGAGCTTTAACAGAGTGCTTCTCAATAATGACTTAAGGAATATATGACTAATCAAGGACACTAGTGATTGAAGGTGATTAGGGTTAGTAGGACTCCAGGAAAAGGGTAACAAGGCTAAAAGTTCGAGGGTTCATATGGCTCCAGTCTATGCAGGTGGATTAGTAAGGCGTGTGAGAATTTCGATGTATTCATTTCAAGGTGGCAATGGGAAGAGTCTCTGGCTTTGTTATGACATCTGGGGTGGCTCTTCTCTGCTCTGCATACAGTTAGCGGATTTGTTTTTATTGACTAGAAGCAAAGATGCTCTTATGAGCAACTAGTTCCTGATCGTTGGTGACTAAGTGGTATGAGAGGTAGAGGTAGTGAGAAGCTTCAATGATTCAGAAGGAAGGCGACTACATTTGGTACTCCACAAAATTGACATGGATTGCCCAGTCTAGGGAGCATGAACTTATCTAGAAGTCGATGCAGGAGCACATGGTCCCAGTCCCAAAATATTTTGTTATTAGTGAAATCAGTTAATAATAGAACCTTGGGAAACTTCTTGATATTCTGAGTTATTATCTTCTTTAAGTTTTTGGGTTTTTTTATCACAAGCATCTTTCCCTTTGCCCATGGCAGCTGAA